AAAAAAAAAAAATCTACTGTCCCTTCAGCATCAAGATCCAAATAATAATAACACAAAATAAAGAAAGAAAAAAAACACACACACACACACACACAGTTATAAACACACACAAACACTACAGCTAACAATTTTCAGAAACACACACATTCCAATCAAGAAAACCTTCAACCTCAATCCTCCGAATATCCCATGATTCCAGGTCCGTAAAAACACCTCTACAAAGAGAAGAAACAGAAAAAAAAAAAAAAATGGCTGCGAATTTGGGATCTTTGAGGCAGAGCTTCGTTGAGAAAAGCAAAGAGAGGTTGCTCTCTCGAAAATACTACTCAGATGATGATTCGTTTATCATCCGCGAGGGATTTTTCCACCGTCTGCGCCGGCACACGAGCGAGAGGCTCTCGAGGTGGTGGAGCCACGTCAAGGGGACCGCGACCAGCGCCTACGAGATGGGTAGATCCGACCCGAGAAAGGTGATTTTCGCGGCTAAGATGGGCGCGGCCTTGTCTCTAGTCTCGGTGCTGATTTTCTTCAAGGAACCCTTGAGTTATATCGGGCAGTATTCTATTTGGGCTATTCTTACTGTTGTTGTTGTCTTTGAGTTCAGCATTGGTGAGTTTGTTTGTCTGTGTGTGTGTGTGTGTTTGTTTTAGTTTTATTATTATTCTAAGGGGTGTTGGTTTTAATGGGTGCCTTTGTGTTGGCTTGATTTGGTAGTTTATGCTGATGAAGTCACTCATTCGATTGTGTTTCTACAAAAAGATTGTTTTTTGGTAGTAAATGATAGAATTTGGTGTTGGTGGTATTTGGTAACTAGATGTTAAACGTTTAGTTAGTAGAGGTTTTTGTGAATTAAGTAGCAAAACTGTTTATATGTTGTTATGCAAAGTTGTTGTGTTTGAGTTTAGCATTGGTGAGTTTGTGTGTGTGTGTGTGTGTTTCGTGTTTCTCTCTCTTTTTTTTTTTTTAATTTATTAATGCTACGGGGTGTTCGGTATTAACACTGCCGTTTTGTGACGTGATTTGGTAATGTATGCCAATGGGATCACTCATTTTGTTCTAGTGTTTCTGCAAAACGATTGTTTTTTTTTTTCTTTCCTTTTGTGGTAGAGAACAGAATCTTGTGTTGGTGGTATGTGGTAGCAAAAGTTGAGTTACTAGAGATTCTTGTTAAAAGTTGAGTTAGTAGAGATTCTTGTATTAAGTAGCAAAAGTGCTTATGTGTTGTTATGTAAAGGTCAATCTAAAGTAGTATTACAAATCGGAAGAACCTGTCCCTTACATTAGTCCTGATTGAGATTCTGCACATTAAGTATAGGAAAGTTCTCATTTTTTTTAATATATTATACTTTGAGAATCTAGTTGTCATTTGGAGATACTAAAATTCACTTCGTTGTTTCCTTTGGAAGGCAATGCTGAAAACACGAACTTTTTTCGCTTTTTTTAGAACTAATGAAATTTCTTTAGTTGGAAGGTTTCACAGTCGATATTGCTTGCTTATTGACTGTTATCGTTTTTTGTTTGATCGGATGTTTTCTTGTGTAGGGGCAACCTTAAATAAAGGGTTTAATCGAGCATTAGGTACACTATCTGCTGGGGCATTGGCTCTGGGGATTGCAGAATTGTCTAAAATGGCTGGGGAACTCCAAGAAGTTGTGATCGTTTTCAGCATATTCATTGCAGGCAAGATTATTTTTATTACTATTAGCCACTTGAAGTTGATAATCAGTCACATTATGTGATTCTATGTCTAGAAACAGAA